GTATTGTTTAACTCCATTTGCAAATACTGAAAAGGTCATAATATTTTCACGGAATGCAATACGGTATCATTTACATTTACATAACTTTTCACGTCAGGGAGACACAGCATTCAAATCGCTCAACACTGTTGGCTGGTCACCTATGCTGGAAGTGGAATCAGAAGGGGCCTGTGAGGGACTAGGTATTAACCCCCCAACTCCCTTTCCCACACCCCCAACCTCTCCAATCGTTGGTTGGTCTTCTAGCACTCACCGCCAATGGGGTATCTCAGGTATCAGAGGCTGCTTGCGCCAACGGATATGTTCTCCAGAATAAAGATAAGGAATCAAACACGTTCAGAAGAAGAAAAGGATTTTTTGGTGTCTGACAAGTGTTGAAACCCATCAATATACTTAAGAATATCTAAACCAAGCTGAGAATTCCATGCAACCCATCTACACATGGAAATTCCTGAGATATTTATTGGAATGGAATGCACATTCACTCCCTAGAGGGACGCATTCTGCTTACAATACAATATTACAATTGTATAGTGTCTTTCAGGTTTCGAAGTCGCCCCAAGGTCCTGAATTCTTAATTCCAGAGAGTATTAGGTCTAGGTTGTCAAGGATCAAGGTTTGGGGAGCCCAGGGTGTGCGTTGGGGTGCTCTTTGGAGTCTAAAACAGCTACAACTGCATTGCTTGCCATTGATAGCACTGCCTTGGCTGCTGCTTGTCCAGTTAGAGAAGAGGAAAGGAAGGGAGAAAATTGGCAGAAAAATAAGTTGTAAGGACTTTATAAATTGTAAGTGAAGCCTGTTCCTGGACTGACTGAAATGTTCTGGAATGCTACCCTGCGTGAGGGGCACTTTATAAATGCAAGTTGTTGTTGCTGTGGTGGAGCAGGGGAGGGAAAGGTGACTCTTTTGCACTGTTATTTCCTATTTTTGGTAATGTAGAGTAACATTCAGAATAGAATGAAAATGTTGCTAATTGTAGTTAGGATCTCATGGTCACCTTGGATGCCCAGCCAGCAGTGTCAAGCACTTTGAGACGTCCTCCCAAAGTGAACATCGCTATGGAAGTGTAAGTCGGATTATGAGAGTCCAGCTGAGGTTACACTTATGTTTGAGAGACTTGTGATCTCAATGTGGATTTGTACAGTGGTGATTTACTAGTGTTATCTACAGCACCACGGACAGTTGTAAAATGATAATAAAGATCTTAAAATGTAATCTGGGTTTTCAGATGTCATAGCTGCAAGAGTGAAGATGTTTTGATGTCAAATGGGCCCGCCGAAGGTTAAATTACATACACTCTTAGATTCACTGGTAGCTTTCATAATATGTTCCATGGTTGGGATGAAATAGTCGCCATGCTGATTCCAATTAAAAGACAGCAGCACAGTCACAGTGGGATTGAGTAAGTCCGGAGGTGGCACAACTGTAGCGTAAGTAGGGTCTCGCGTTGGATAAAGCACCTCAGGAAGTAAATTGTCTCCTGCAGGGAGTCATTATGAATTTCCCGCTGACTTGCAAGAACATGCCTCTGAATCTCCTGTCTCAGTGTGATATATGTGGGCTATCCTGCGGGAGATGTACCATTGCCCCCTGGTATAACTCAAATGGAAGGCAACGGCTCCCATTGTTTTGGGTAACAGACTCCCAGATACAATTTGTCATTCACTATTTGTGGGAACAAATGCTGTGCACAAATTGGCTGTATGTTCCCACACACAACTCCACGGGGAAAGGAGAAGCGAATCTGGACTGTTTCACAGCAGATGTTGGGAAAGATCTGAGAGTTTACTTCTGTTGGCCATTTGATGCATGTAGCCCTGGAAGAGCAGGGAATAAAATGGGAGAGAAGGACCTAAGTTCAGTTTTAAAGACGAGTACTGTGTTTACATGATCAAGCAATGTTATCTAGTACATTTTTGCTGGCATTTTTCAATGCATATTGCATTATTGAGACTGGTATTTAGCTAAAGAAAAGAGTAGAGACAGTACATGTTACCTTTAAATGGTTAAACTTTTTAACCTAATGCAATTTATTTAGGAAGTTGTTATTTGGTTGATTATCACATGCTAAAATTCACATGAGACTTTAAACCAAGATCCTGTCTACCTGTCCAGGTGGACGTTAAAGATCCCATGGCGTTGCTCAAAGGAAGAAGGGAGTTTCTCCCGCTGTTCTGGCCAACAGTCCCCCAAGTACAATTTGTCATTCACTTTATGACTGTGTGGGACATTGCTGTGTGCAAATTGGCTCCACATTCGTCTACAGAATACACATTCACTGCACTGTTAAGCTGTTATATCAACAACACTAAGAGATTTGTATAGCACCTTTCACGTCAGGAGGACGTCCCAAAGCGCTGAACAGAGTACAGCATTTCAGACCCGAGCTGGGGTAGGGGGGTAAGGGAGGGGAGGGGAAGGAGGGTGGCTGAATGCATGGTCGAAGAGGAAGGTTTGAGGTGGGACTTGAAGGAGGCTAAGGAGGGGGCGAGGCGGAGTGACTGAGGGATGGAATTCCAGAGGCTGGGGGCAGAGTGGCTGAAGGTTCTCCGCCAATGGTGGGGCCGGTGGGTCGGGGGTCATGGAGCAGGCCAGAGCTGGCTGTGCAGAGGGAACGGGCGGGTTGGTAGGGGGTTAGGAGGTCACAGAGGTAGGGTGGGGTAGGCCATGGATGGCTTTGTATGTGAAGATCAGGATCTTGAACTGGATCCTCTGAAGGATAGGGAGCCAGTGGAGTCGGGTGAGAGTGGGGAAGATGGAGGACACGGAGTTTGGTGCGGGAGAGGACATGGGCTGCAGAGTTCTGGATTATCTGCAGCCTGTGGAGGGAGGAGTTGGGAAGGCTGACAAGTTGGGCGCTTGCATAGTCGAGCCTGGAGGTGATGAAGGCATGAACAAGAGTTTCAGCGGCCTGAGGGGTGAGGTAGTGGTGAAGTCGGGCGATGTTACGTAGGTGAGGGAAGGCAGAGCGGGTTATGGCTTGGATGTGGGGAAGAAAAGACAGTTGAGGGTCGAACAAGACACCCAGGTTCCTGACTGGCAGTGAGTTGTAGTGTGCAACCATGGAGGTTGATGCTGCCAAAGCCTGAGGTGCTGAGGGGTTGGCGCGAGGCAATCAGGAGGGCCTCAGTCTTGTTCACATTCAACTGTAGGAAATTTGCCCTCATCCAGGACTTGATGTCCGACAGACAGTCTGTCAGGACAGCAGTGGTCCTGGAGGTGAGGGTGGAGGCAGAAAGATAGAGTTGGGTGTCATCCGCATACATGTGGAAGTATCAAGTGCAAATGGAGAAATATTATAAATGGCTGAAATTAAATTAATAAAAAAAGTATCCACAAGGACCTTTTCACAAATCTTTCTTTTTTTCGTCTACTTCAGTCCGTGTGTGTAACATTTTTATTTGAACAATAAATTGTGATGGAATGAATGAGTTGGAATGCCTGGGAAAAGTTACTCAGCCCACAGACTGAAGAGGACTGAACAGTCCTTGAACCAGGGCGCTTCTGCAGCTCTGTTCTTTCAGTTGTGTGTTAAACAAGTTTCTGAGCAGCTCTCTGCGTTGTAAGCTTTCAGTATTTAAGCAAAAATTTCTTGTACAATGCAGCGAACCCTCCCGAGTATTGTATTGTACAATTCGATTCCCGGCAGAGTGAAACCTTGGGCTTACTTACTCCACACGCCTGATAATAAACCCTCAAGCATTACTCAATCCACGACTGTTTGTGGGACACTGCTGTGCGCCTGCCGCGTTTCACCAAACAAATATACAGTCAACTCACTTCACAGTATATTTTTGTAGCGCTTTGAGACGTCTAGAAGACGTGAAAAGCTCTATATCAAATGCAAGTATTATTATAATACAGTTTAGACTTGTATAGCCTTTCATGTCAGGAGTACATCTCGAAACACTTGGACACAGTTTAAGGAGTCTTTACAAAATTAAAGAACACAAATGCTGCACTAAAGGAGAAAAATTGATGATGAAACGCGCTGTTAGGGATCGGATATTTAAACTCTTAAAACAGAAACACATAACTATAAATTATTTAACCCTTTGGGCGCGTGGGTTTGGAGACTCTCCAGAAAATGACGCTGCTTATTATGTTCTACAACAACAACAACAACAAGATTCCATTTATAGAGCGCCTTTCACGTCGGGAGGACGTCCCAAGGCGCTGTACAGTTGGGTCAGGACCCGAGCAGGGGGGAGATGGTCAGGGTGAGGGGAGGGAAGGGAGGGGGCGAGGAGGGAGTAGAGAGTTGAGAGGGGAGCTGAAGGCACGGTCAAAGAGAAAGGTCTTGAGACCGGCCTTGAAGGAGGAAAGGGAGGAGGAAAGGCGAAGGCACTGGGGATAGAGTTCCAGAGCCTCGGGGCTGAGAGGCTGAAGGCCCGGCCACCGATGGTAGGGCGGTTGGGGCGGGGGATGTGGAGCAGACTGGAGCCAGAGGAATGGAGGGTACGGGCAGGTGGGTAGGGGGATAGTAGGTCGGAGAGGTAGGAGGGAGCAAGGCCGTGAATGGCCTTGTAGGTGAGGATGAGGATCTTGAATTCGATCCTCTGGGGGATGGGGAGCCAGTGGAGGCGAGCGAGGGTGGGAGTGATGTGATCGCGAAGCCTGGTGCGGGACAGTACACAAGCTGCAGAGTTCTGAATGACCTGCAGCTTGTGGAGGGAGGTGCCGGGAAGGCCGGCGAGGGGAGAGTTCCCATAGTCCAGCCTTGAGGTGATAAAGGCGTGGACCAGAGTTTCAGCAGCGTGAGGGGTTAGGTAGTGCCGTAGTCTGGCGATATTCCGGAGGTGATGGAAGGCGGTGCCAGTTGTGGCGCGGATATGAGGGAGAAAGGACAGCTCAGGGTCGAACAGAACGCCGAGGTTCTTGACCGGCTTTGAGAGGTGGAGAGTGCAGCCTTGGATGCTGATGCTGTCAGGCCTGAGGAATTCTGTTCACTTTAAATTATAGTAACAATAATCATAATAATATTTCTTTTGTCACTCCAGGCTGTTTGCCGGGCTTGATGCCTTACACGAAGAAAATGACGTCTTCCTATGAAGAGCGCAGGAAGCAAGCCACTGCCATCGTCCTCCTGGGGGTCATCGGAGCGGAATTCGGAGCCGAGATCGAGCCACCGAAGCTGCCGAGCAGGACCCGGCACACCAGCCAGGTCCCAGAGGGCTTCGGTCTGACCACCGGAGGCTCCAACTACTCCCTGGCAAGGCATACGTGTGAGTGTTAGAGGATCTTTGGCTTCTTTTCACTTCGGGGTTGGAGTCTCTATTAGATACGGTATGGATCAGTTTGTAACCCAAGTGCTGCTGAGATTTCACTTGTGTTCATTTTGCCTGAATAAGACTCGATTTTTAAGTGCTCCAAGATGTTACCTTGCAAGAAGGGCCCTATATAAATGCATGTTCTCGTTACATCAACAGCAGCATCAATAATTTATTGTTATATAGCGGCTTTCATGTTGGGAACAGTTCACCAGTTCTGACCAAGCTCCGCTGGCTCCCCATCACCAAACAGATCGACTTCAGGATCCTCAAACTTGTGTTCAAATCCATTTACTCCCCGGCACCTCCCTACCTCTTCGACCCCCTCACTCCCCAATCCACCACCCGGCGCCTCCGTTCGACTGGCACCGGGCTCCTGCTCTTCCCTTGCACCCTTCGCCCCACCAACAGAGGTCGCGCTTTCAGCCACTACACCCCGAAACTCTGGAACACTTTCCCTCAATCCCTCCACCTTGCCCTCTGTTTCCCTTTTTCAAGTCACGCCTGAAAACCTTCCTCTTTGTCTGTGCTTACAGCCACCTCCACCCCCGCACCCTTGGCTCAGAGTCAGGCTCTGCCACTGTTAAGTGCACTGAGACACTACCCTGCGTGGAAGGCGCTTTATAATTGCAAGTTGTTGTTGGTAAAGTGTCTCAAAAGGCTTTACAAAGACTGAGCGGGAGCTTGAGAGCTGGGAGTGGATTGAAGGGGAAGTGGTCGGAAGCGTAATCTTCAGGCAGGGAAAGCAGAGATGGAAGGGTCGATGCGGAAGGATTTGTGGAGTTTCAGAGGGAGAAGGAAAGTGGTTGAAGGATCACCTGCTGATGGTAAAGCGGAGGAGAGCGTGAAGCAGGTCGGAATTGGCGGAGCAGAGGGAGTGGCCGGGAGAGTATGATTGCAGGTGGTGGCACAGATAGTGCAATGCCATAAAGGTATTTGAAGGTGAAGGTGAGGATCCTAAAACTGGAATAGGCAACCAGTGGGTCTGAATGAAAATGGGGATGATGTGCTTATGTGATTTGCATAGCTTATATCATCCCAAACAACTCGAAAACAGGATAGTTAATTAAGTTGTTCAATTAATAGATTTATGGATTAATTCTAAATACTTGAAGATCTCTCACTGACCTGTTCTGTCCTTGAGTCTTCGAGTGCCATACAACAAAGACAATTTACATTTATGTGGGGCCTTTCACATCGGTATTCTTTCACAAAGGTGCCCTGTGAGTGCCGAGAGTTGATGTGTGTCGTTGCGGTTCAGTGTAGCTGTCGAAGAGAGAGGTCTTAAAAGTGGGGAAGTAGGGGGCAAGGCAGAGGAATCTGGGAATTCCAGAGGTAGGGAGAGTGGGGATGGGAGGGGAAGAAAATTGTAGATCAAAATAAAATGCCCTCTTCACTCCACAGATTGTGTTGTACTTGCCTTTGCTGTGTTTTTGTTGCAATTCACATTGCTATGCACTTATCTGCATTCCCACTCATTTGTTCGATTGGTCCAAATCTTAACAGATGCTCTTTAATAATAAATAATAATAATCCTTGCATTTGATATAGCGCTTTTCACATCGGGAGGACGTCCCAAAGTGCTTCACAGAATATACTGTAAAGTGAATTGACTGTATATTTGTGGGCGAACGCGGCTGCTAATTGCGCACAGCAATGTCCCACAAACAGTCGTAGATTGAAAATGACCAATTTATTATTGTTTAATACTGTGGCACTTGCAAACATAGTTTGGTATTACTAGCAGATTTCAAATCTAAGTCGATTTGTCTTTTAAGTTTTGAGGATCTTCTGAAATACTTGCTTTCCTGAGTTGATCTTTGTTCCGCCACTGTAGGATCAGAGTCGCCTATGTAGGGATGAATGAGTCCTTAATGGTTACAGCAGCAACTGAATATTAGTTTTGGCAGTTACTTAACCTGTCCATAATGCTTAACACTGCACCAGATATCCATAATAAAGTGTAATTACCCGTCAGAAGTACTCAGACGTAATGGGTGATCATTACACCAGTCAAAACAAAGCTTAGAGGGGTGGAGACACCACGCAGCATTCTGTAAAGGGGTTGTATCTATAGCTGTGACATCTAGGATGTGTATATTAAGTCCTGTACAGGAGAGTGATTTCGCTAAGTTGGAGCAGGATACAGAAGAACGCTTTTTTTGAGCAATAATAAGCCTTGCATTCGATATAGTGCTTTATCACGTCGTTGAAACGTCTCAAAGCGCCTCACAGAATAATAACAATTTGCACTTATATAAGCGCCTTCCACACGGAGTAGCGTCTCAGAGCGCTTAACAGAGCCTGGCTCTGAACCGGAATATACTGTGAAGTGAATTGATTGTATTTTGTGGGCAAAACAAAGTAGCCAATTACACACAGCAGTGTCTCACAAACAGACATGGATTGAGTAACCAAATGTTTGTTTGGAGGGATTATTAATAAACTGATAGCATTCAGGACTATTATCTCAGCGGTGAAATTAGTTATCAATAAAACATTGTATTTTTCTCCCGAGATATACATCTCGCTAGGTTTTGTTTTTCCCAATAGTAGAAGTTGATTTGCCTTGAAAAAATCACTTGCAGCTGGTGAGGAAAAGAAAGGGGTTCATCCCTTTAAGAGTCACATCCTTTAACGGCTTGGGTACTTCTACTGTGCCCTGACCTTCTATCTGACCTTTTCTCCTATGAAGACTATAGGTGTCTGGTGCTCTTTCTGAAGAACGTATCTTTAATTCTCTAATTATTAGTTATTTGCCTCTCGTGAGGTGATATATTTGTGCATTTTCCTGATATATATCTCTTTCTTTAGTGTGAAGTTTCAAGTCTTATTTTCCCATTGTCATTTGTTGACGCAAGAGAATGGATGTTGCCCCATTTTTAAGACCTCTTTTCACCCACTACGCCCCCTTGCCCCTTTCCTCCACCTTGCCCCCCTCCTTCACCATCTTCAGCTCGCGCCTGAAGACCTTCCTCTTCGACCGTGGCTCCCCCCCCGGCTCAGTGTCAGGCTCCTCCACTGTCAAGCCCTGAGGGGCACTATACTGCGTGAGGGGCGGTGTATAATATAAATGTAAGTTGCTGTTGTTGGATGAAGACGGCGCTTTGGTGCATTTGATCTCATCCTTCCAAAATACCCATCCTACCTAACTCTCCATTGCAGCATCAAACTGTTTTGTAAATGTGTCAAGTGTCCTGGCCTCAACCACTCTTGCTGGTAACCCAGTCGAGTTGTTGATTATTTTCTGTCTAAAGAAATACTCCCTGGTGCCTGTCCTAAACATCAAATACACTGACCCTGTTCTGCTGCCTTGGCATATCTGAAAGAATTGTTCCACGTTTACTTTCTCAAACCCATTTAGAATCTTGTACACCTCTATGGAGTTCCCTCTGAGACGACTTCACACGTCACTTTGTGAAGTGGTCATTTCTTAAAAAAAAAATTACATCCACACACGGAAGTAAATTATATTTGACTACCGGAAGCCCTCTGTCCTCTTCAACCTTACCTTCGGTCACCCTCCTGCCCCTACCCTCCCTCCCCTCCACCCCTCCTGATCCCAACTTCCAGCTTGGGTCCAAATTCCTGACTGTCCATCGCTTTGGGACATCCTCCCGATGTAAAAGGCTCTATACAATGTGTTGTTGTTGTCCTGAGTGTTCTGGAGTCTCAGGGTTACATCTGGCACAGAGTTATTTTGTTGTCTCTTAACCTTTTCTAAACCATGAAGCATCTGTCAGACTCAGTGGAACTGGGCGCTGCATTCGGCTTGTGTCTGTAAACTGATCCCGACTGCCGAAATGTCAAAATTTAACACTGCTTGACTGAAGTCTTGGGTCTAGCCTTGGTTCACAAACTCTCATCTATCTCCAGGTCTGAGAGAAACCTAGGAATAGGAGGCCATTCAGCCAGTCAATCTTGTGATGCCAGTTGATTCGATCTTGACAGTCTCTTAATCCCATTCTCCTACCTTTTCTCCTTATCCCTTAATAACCTGACTTCTCAAGTATCCATCTAGGGAGGGGAATCAGGTCAAGAAATGAAAGTGAAAGGAAGAGGGATGCATCTTTAAATGATAATTCCATCTGGGTTTGGAATAGACTTGTGGAGTTCTGTAGTGTAGTGGTTAGAACATTCGCCTCACAACCGAGAGGACCTGGGTTCAATTCCCAGGCAGAGCGAAATTTTAGAATGGTTTCCTTATTCCATACGCCTCTACTTATCCAACAATAATTTGGACCTTGTTGTTAGTCGATTGTCGGATCACTTTCCGGGGGCATCCAGTGAGGCCTATTCTGCCCCCCAATAATCCCCCACAAAAAATAATAATTTGATAACTCAATCCATGACGTTTTGTGGGACCCTGCTATGCACAATTGGCTGTTGATTTTTGCCCACAAAGTAAACAGTCAATAAACTTTACAATATATTTTTTGAAGTGCTTTGAGACATCTCAACAAGATAAGGTGCTGTATCAAATGCAAGGATTATTTTAGAGGATAATTTCATAGGTGTGGCTGGACGAAACCTCAATTGAGGCCAATTCCACTCCTGCTTTAGCCTCAGACTGACTGTGCCAAGGAAGAGGATGGATTTGGCGCTTCTCTTTGTCTATTTCCAGAGTTTACACTGCCCGCTTCCAGGCAGTCTGAAGCAAAGATCTTCTCATAGTTTGGCCCAACTATTGTCAATGGTCCGAATAGAATGGGCCTCACTGGATGCCTCAGGCATCTCATCAACTCCACTTTCGGAGGGACGTTAAACCGAGGTCTTATCTGCCTGTTCAGGTAGAAGTTAAAGATCCCATGGCACTATTCGAAAGGAGAATGAAGTTTTTTCCTGGTGTTCTGGCCAACAATTCCCCAAATAAATTGGTCATTCACTCCATGGCTATTGTGGGACACTGCTGTGCACAACTGGTTCCCGCATTTCGCCCACAAAATACACAGCCA